AAACAACTGGTTCCGTCTGTGGGTCGCTGAAATGGGCCGCATGGACATCAATTTGAAATAAGAGCGAAACATGAAGGCATGCGGTCCAGTCTGCTGCTGCTGCTGCTGCTGGAGCCAAACATGTCAACACCCTGCTGCTGCTGCTGCTGCTGCTCCACAGCCAGGTCCTCCTTCTCTATACAGTCTGTTTTTTACTGGAGATACTGTCTCCGGGCTCTGTGCGTGTGGACGGCCATGAGAAACAGAGAGAAGAGGGAGGACATGCTGTTCTATCCATCAAAATGCCCGCATTGTGTTTTCACACGATAGAAGAGCGAGCAGGGCCTCAGCCCGTCTCTCTCTCTCTCTCTCTCTCTCTCTGTGTGTGTGTGTGTGTGTGTGTGTGTGTGTGTTCGTGCTACAGGCCTGCCTGATCAGCAGCAGCTGATGTAGCTGTTGCTGTAGATCGATACGCTCTGATGTGTCTCCACAGCCGCGGCCTGTCCATCTGTGGAGCTGCCTTTTCAGATGATGCCTTATTTCTGGGGCATCGACTATTTGGGGAAAGGTGTGTGTGTGTGTGTGTGTGTGTCACAAAGGGATGTGATGGCCAGGAAATCACGCTCATGTTGTGGTTTATTTTCGGGCACATTAACCAAAACTGAAAGTAAGGACAAATCAACAGCTGATCAAGAACAGCCCGACAATGTCTTTGACAACCGGTGGTTCTCAAAGGCTGGACAGCGGACAGCACATGAGTCCGTGAGATGTATTGGTTTGAGGTCGCTGAGTAAATGCAGAGGTCAAGTTCCCACTGGAACACGTTTGAGTGTTGTCATGGGTTTCATGTTAGTTCTAGTTCCACGGTGAACACAGTAACAAACGTCGTCCTGATTGAATCAGTGACATCACCAACACATGACAAATCCTAATCTTCCACCTGTCAATGTGCAATAGAACCCTGAGCGTTTGGAAACAAATCTTTGACTTTCTCATTGGTTTATTCAGAGCCATCCATGGTAACGTTCAGCTGTGACTCTGCTGCCTCCCTGTTGACGTCAGTTAACCTTTAAAAAAATCCATGGTACGTTTAATTCTTTTAGCTTTAAACATTTGTTGTATTTTTTGTCAAAGTTGATGTAACCAAAATAAGGGTCACCACCCTGTTCTGGCCAAGATGGATAAAAGACTGTAACGGAGTGGCTGTGCCTTGAATTAGGGACGTGTTTGTGTGTGTAGGTCAAGGTTACTTTATAGAGTATATTTTGGTTATTGTTTTTTTTATTGAGAACTTACAGATAATAAATGCAGCCAATCAACTGTAGGCTTTAGATGCAGCTATGACTGAGTCAGTACCCCATATGGCACAGACCTGGGTTAACTTGGCTGTTTGGGTGCATATTGGACATGGGTAAATACCAATTATCTGCAGGAGAAATTCAAATTTCACTTTGCCTCGATTGCATTTTTTGGATATGTTCAAACATTCATGCTGCAAAAATGTCATAAAACAACAGGCACACAGAAAAAATATTACATAATCAGCAATTGAATGCGTGCTAATTTTATTTTAAGTCTTCAAATTTTCCATGTTAATTTTTGTTCTAGAACATGCAAATAAATGTTTCAACAGCCCAAAGCCACGTCAGCAGTGTCAGCAGTTCTCAGAAAACGAGTTCCTCATTAAGCTGTAGGTGTAGTGTTAAACTGACAGATTAACCTGGAGGAAGTAAGTGTTGACATGTGTGTGCCGTGGTGTTGACGTTTTGACACGTCTAACCTCTGACTGATGAAGACCGCCAAGTGCAAGAGTGTGATGAAGAACTTAGATTCACAGCAGCTCATGTGTGAGGATGGAAAAGTGGAGCTGGAGAAATCAGAGGGTGAAATACACCAGATTTTATTTTGGTAATCTTTTCTTGGACGTATTTAGTTGATCCTCTGGTTTACCTGCTCTACTCTTCTGTGAAAGGAAGTATATTTGTTCATTTGGCCCACATGTGACAAACGGGCTACAGCCCTCTGTGGCCCTGAGGTTTGGAGGCCCAAGGCCCTATGATTTGGAAATATGCCGAGCAATGATGCTAAATGCAGCTTCAGGGTTACGGACTGAGCAGCCAATCAATTAATAATTAGCTAATAACGTGTTTTATTTAAACCCAAAGCATTTTATAAGTGAAGTATTTATTTACCAAGTTGTTATGAGGAAATGTAGACTGAATGTTGGGATCAAGATTAGAGACAAAGTGGGTCTGGGACGGTCTACAAATGTCCTCACATTCGTCATCAGGTGCTCTCTCTCTCTCTCTCTCTCTCTCTCGCACACACAGACACACACACACACACACAAAAGGACTAATTACAGGCACTAATCTCAACTCCACAGCTACTCCACAGCAGGAGTAATTAAAGCAGGACTCTCTCCAGGGGAGAGAGAGCGACAGACAGACAGAGTCAGGGTGAGAGACACGGTCGTAACACACACACACACACACACACACACAGGCACTAGCATGTGAAGAGCGAGGTGTGTTCTCAGCTACAACTACGTAGTCAGGAAACTTTCGCACTTAGATGAAAGAAGTGGAAAAAAAGAACCTGCTGTTTTTACACAGTGACCAGGACTGTGTGTTGAACTTACAGGTTTCTGATTCACTTCTGTTGGCGTTCTCTGCTGTAAATGTGTCACGATCTCTGTAACCGTCAGCTGATGATGTCTCTCTCCACCTCAGTGTCAAACCACCGTGAGCTCGGCCTTTTGACCTGAAGAGGGTTCCTGACGTCCAGTTCAGTCCAGTCCTGTCCTGTCCTGCTCAGAGTCCCCTCCGTCTCTCCGTCCTGTCACGCTGGTGTCCAGAGTGAAGCTGGTCTGCACGCCATCAATCAGGTAAAACTCACTTTGTTCATAAACAGTCACAAATAACATGGGATTTTTTAAAAACATTTTTTCAGTGTCAATATTTCCCCTTCTGAGAAAATTTGAAACAAATCCCTAAATAAAGGCTTTTAAATTGTGAATAATTTCTAAGAAAATAATTAAGTTGTATTTAAAAAATGAATTTTTTGTATTTTTTAAAAAAATGAAGAAAGTCTCATGGTTTGAGCTTTGTTTCACAAACAAAAATATATAGAATTGTGTAAGTCACACCTGCAGAGGAAAAGCCAAACTAGAGCAATATATATTATATTATATATATAAAATTAAAGGCCGACTAAAGATAACTAAAAGTGAAGCAAAAGAGGTTAGCTCTAAAGGTTGCAAAATATAAAGCAAATAAGGCTAAAAGAAGGCCAGAAATGATAATAAAAACATTTAAGAACACACGCTAGCCCATCATTAGCTTTAGTTAGCCTCTCAATCATTACACGTTTAAATCAAATTACCATGGAAATCATCCACAATAACTCAAACGTACTTTACAAAATAATTAGGCACATTAAAAAGTGCTTAATGTGATGACAGGGAAGCAAAATCGTTTTGAATATTTGGCGTCCATTAAAAATAATACGTCGATAATGCTCTCTGTACTGTACTGCTGTACTTATGTTGCACTGACACATTCTGACCTCAGGGTGGTGCTATAAATCCACAAGTAGAGTCAGACTGCTGCCGTTAGTCACTAATTGTTATTTAAAACCATCATCAACGCAACGCTGAGAATGCTTTAAAACACAGACTATCACCGCATTTTGGAACATTTCGAAGTAATTTTTACGTCTTTAATAAACAATACAGTGCTATTTAATATATACAAAAAATAATTAAGAAAAAAAAAATGTTTTTGCAACAAAAGTCTAGGTTCATTCATCTTATTTCCACATAAGTAAATATTATAATGTTTTTATAAAGTCACGACTGTAACTCCTCAGTTTGGCAGTATGAAATAATGACAAAGAAAATAGACAAAACAGCTTATATTTAATGTCATATTCACATCAATATAACTGAATATTATATTGTGACTCAGTGGTTAAGGAGGCAGACACACTGCTCCCCCTTAAAGCTGCCCCCTGTTCACTTTGGTGATGGGTTAAAAACAGAGGTCACATTTGGCTGTGTGCAGTGGTGAGCTGTGTCACCAGGACAAGGAGTTCACTTTCCCTCCTGTATCTATAACTGTATAAATATATACAAGAATGTTAGACTTCAGTCGTGCATCACTTAAAAAGTCAAAAGCTCTTTTGAACTAACTTTTCCTGTGAAAATCTTAAATGTTAGTGCTCTGGTGTTTAGATGACATTTTGGTGTTTAGTGCTCTGGTGTTTAGATGACATTTACAGCAGGAAACAGCACAAACAGAAAGGTGATAAATGAAGATTTCAAGTTGGAAATGTTTGATGTTCTGCTTCCCACTATCATTTGCATACAATTAATTTATGACGTAATTGGTCACAATATAATAATAATGTCTGTATTTATCAACCTATGTGGCATGGAACCCAAACAGGCTGCAGACCAGGACCACTAAATTAGCTAAAAAAAGAACCCTGAATATAATTTTTCATAAAACTAAAGATTTTTTGCGAACAGTCAAAGTTCGACACCACTGTATCCAATTAAAACTTAATTAACTACTAATCCACGTTGTACTGGGCTGCGGTCCGGGTGTACAACACCTGCTGTTGTCACCATTACTCTGTACTCTTGAGATCACCTGCCAGTTGTTAGTTATGTGGCTTTAATGAATATCCTAACCACAAACAGTGACTGAGCTAAACCAACAAACCATGTTGTTAATCTGACTTTTGGCTGTTAAAAAGTGTTAAAAAAGGATTAAATGTTGAATCATCAAAGGAAAATATCTGGCTGTTTTAACGAAATGCAACCTTCTCTTGATTAAAAAGTATTTGACTTGTTGATATACATATATATGTATGTATATATATATATAGGGTTAATTAACTACACTATTTTAATTAATTCCCATTTTTGTCCTGTTGGCAATATGGTCCTCGAACCACAGATTTAGAAACATGGACTTGTTGTCAAACTTTAATATAAAAATCTAGAACATTCTCTGTGTAAAGTGCAGGCTTTAAGGGGATTTTGCGTGATTTAGGCCTTTTGTCCAACCTGTGGTTCCTGTGTATAATTAAAGTCACAGCACCTTGTAGAGTGGCCTGGCAGCGGTCCACGGTTCTCACCTGACAACAGCCTCTGTTAAAGCCAGAAACCTGGATCAACTGCTTCTGTTGCCAGTTTATCTCTTCATTTGCTTATAATTACCAATGTAATGTGTCAACCAGCACTCGTCACCGGTACTTCATGTCTACGCCTCGCTGACCTGAACACACCAACCTACTTTCATGTTGGCGGTAGGGCGTGCAAGTACTATTTTTAACTGAGATAAATTTAAGTTTGCATGTGAACGGAGAGTAAATAAAGTAAAAACCAAACAAACAGTAGAGATTATGTTTGCGTGTGAGACAAGTCCTAAATATCTGGGTCAAAGTGACTGTCGACATCTAAGGGATTTGTCTCAATTATAAAACCGACTTCCTCCCCACTACTGACATTCATTAACGTTCATAAATATGAACAAATAAAGTTGAGAAGTGATGAGAATTCCATTGAATCTGTTTGGCCTGTTTCTAATGTAGGCCGCAGCAGATGTAGGCCGCAGCAGATGTAGGCCGCAGACTACAGTAAGTACTAGGCCACTGTGTTGTTACAAACTCACTGTTCCTTCTGTATCAGAACAAAAGCTATTAGGTGACTTTGAATCGCCGTCTTTTGTTAAACAGATTGTGCTTACTGGATGTAATTACACTTAATGACCACACGTCCATGTACTGGAGCCTGGCTTGGGTCCAGACCTATAATGGCTCTTGTTTGTGCCATGAATCTAAATCATTAAACTCTGTTGCCCAGTTTCGTGTTCATGGTGTGCTCTCCATTACAAATCCAACCCACAATCACTTCCTCATTCCTCACTCACGTCACCGAGGTAAACGGAGCGATCGAGTTAAGCTGTCATGTTCTGGCACGGGATTACAGACAAATTAATTGTCTGTTAAATGAACTCAGTGTTCTGAACTCCAGGTATGTTTTATTCCTCTCCCTCCAAACCTACATTCACATGTGTGTCAACAGAACTGATAGTGAAGATGATGATAGTGATGAATCAACATAGTGAACATTTCTCTCATCATCAGCTCCTCTCTCTCTCTCTCTGTCTCTCTCTCTCTCAGTTTTCTCTGGTGTTGCTGTATTCTGATGGATCAGTATGTCCACCACTAATAACATCGCCCAGGCCAGGAAACTGGTGGAACAGTTGAGGATCGAGGCAGGAATCGAGCGTATTAAGGTACGACATCAGTGTGTGTTCTAAACATCAGTGTCATCACTGACAGTACTCCAAATATGGACATAAAAAAGAGTCCTCTAAGTGATGTCATGTTCTGTCCAATAACAGAACTTTAAACACACACATACACACACACAGGTCTATGTTATATTTGTTGTGAGCTCCTTTTATTTCATGACATCTTTCAGTCTTTTCAAGTTAAAGTCTGTCCACGCGGCACAACTCGACTTTTACAACTCTTTATCACAAAAGTACAACAGATCACAGAGTATTCAATTTGATACATTTATGTATTTTTTAAACTAATTTTCCTATTGAGGACACCATGATTTGGATGAATGCTGAGGGTCACTCAGAAATTATAATAATAATAATTATACTATTGTTATTATTATTATTGACTTCAGTCTGACCAAAGACTTATCGTACATAAACCTCATCTTTGGTTTTATCAAATGTGACTCCTATTTAGGGTTAAATGTATGTATGGTAAAATACTACTGTTTTTAAACTTTTCTTGTTCAAATGGCTTATTTCAGTTCTGTACTTTCTTTTCTATCATTTAGTTCTTTTTTTTTCGAGAGCCAACACATTTCTAACAGAAGAGCTAAACCTCAGTTGGGGTTAGCTAAGTTCACCTTACCTGATGACAAGATTAAGCTGAAGTTACAATTTAGCCGGCCTTTTAATAAAAACCGGTTCATTCCGAAAACTTTCACGTCTGAATTTCACTCCTGGATTATTTTCAGTTGAAATAAAAACAAACGGAAAAAAAAACGGCCTTTTTTAAAGAGATGTCTTGAATTTTAACATCGAGCCGTTCGTGGTTCTGATTCCGTTCTCATTCTCATGTTTGATCTTCTTCTCTTTCTTATTCTTATTCTCATACTCTCTATTCCTTTTGTCTTACATGCCTTTTCTTTTTTTTCCTGATCTCCCATTGCATGTGCGTCTCCTGGCAGGTGTCTAAAGCAGCAGCAGACCTCATGAGTTACTGTGAGCAGCACGCTCGCAGCGACCCCCTGCTGGTCGGCGTTCCCACCTCCGAAAACCCTTTCAAGGACAAGAAGCCCTGCATCATCCTATAGCTGTGTTCTTACCCCACCTGACCTGACACACATTCACACACACACACACATACGGTACATTCAGGCACACAGGATGACACACACACACACACACACACACACATGTTGCTTTAGTTCAGTACTTGAACTAACTCACAACAACTGCAAATATATTAAGAAGCAACCCTGTCTCGTTTTACAGGGCTATAAATCTACACACACACACACACACCTTTCTGGAAAAGCGCCATACCCCAGGGCCACATGTAAAGGGCAGGTATCATTTGCCCCCAGTGGCCAACATCGGTATATCACTGAGTATGATCCAAGGTGCTTTGGTAAATATTCACATATGCTGGTTAATTTACTTCACCTTGACTAAAAAACAAAAACAAAAAAAAAAAACAATAGGAAACTGGATATGATTTTGTTTTAATTGTCCTTAGAATGATTGGCTGGTCAGAGATGAGTAGCTGCAACAACACAGGCAGAGACAGAAAAAAGCCTTGGCCTTTTATGGCTTTACAGCATGTTCACACCCAAAGCTGTGTCGACGAAACCTCGTCTGCCTCTCTGTGGCCAAACCTCTGACCCTGTCAGACTGGGCCGAGAGTTTCCTCCAAACGCTGATCTGTTGTCGCTGATGTCAGGCTGCTCTCACCTGAAACCAGTCTCTACACTGACCTCAGATCTGCAGCTGTGAGGTTGACACACGTGTACACAGAAACCCCCGGGTGTTTACTGCATTTTTATCAAGAAAGCTTCTTTTTGAACACTATGTATGTTTTGATATTTTATAGTTAGGATAAAACTTTTTTTTCCCGTTTATTAATGGCGTTGTGTTGACACTGGTGTTGCCCTGGGCTTCATTTCCTGTAGGTGTAAACAGAAGCGGCAGGGACGTTTGATGGTAAGCCAGGAGAGATAGGTTACAAGATATCTGCTGGATCCCTCTAATGTATGTGAAACTTCCCTGAGCTTTAGGTTGAGAGCGGGCGAGGTCACAGCTGAGTTTCTGTCTGCAGAAACTGCAAAGGCCTGAGGGGGAAACCCCTCACGTAGAAAAAGAAAAACCAAAACAAAACGAAACAGTGACAGTGAGTCAAAATGAAGCCTTCCTGTTCTCAGCTTCTGCCGCTGTTGCTAGATTCTTTTTACTGTCAGTCTTTGTCAGGTGCGATGGCGGTTTAGATGAGACTGATCTGGACAGGAGCAGAATTCAAGGGGTTTCATTTTGTTTCACAGTCTGGAGGTGGATATGTTCAAGTGCACATAAATCCTGGCAACAAGTTGAAGTCGTTTGTCAGAATCCATCAGTGTTCTCTGCTCAGCTTTCTGTTCCTCTGTTCTCCTCCGCCTCAGCGCTCCCTCTTTCTGAATTGAAAAACCAAACTTGATTGTAAAAAACTGAAGGGAAAATAGGGAAAATATGAAGTGAAGAGGTAAAAGAAAAACCTCGGTGTATAAACTTTCTTTCAGACATGTGCCGAAGTGATCAGTTGAAGAGTAGCTGTTCTGTTTTTAGCTGTTTATTTTTGACTTCTTCTTCTTCTTCTTCTCTCTATGGAGTCCATGGAACCTGGTCAGTTGAGTATTACCCTGTAAAGTGTTTGTAAGATACAAAATCTGAGCACAGAAGTCTCCCTCTGTGGATTTTTTTAGTAATACATATCCAGTTGTGTCCGTCCAGATGAAGTCCGTCTTCATTCCGTTTCATTTATTTCATTTGATCTCACATTCAGAGGTGGGTTCTGACCACGGGTACGAACACACACTGACCTGAAGAGAAAATTCTCTTCATGAGAATTCTCTGTTGGTTTTTATTCTGGTTTTTTGGGGGTTTTTTTGGATGTTGCTGATGAACCGACATCAGACCTCAGTCCTGTGGCCAACGCCGACCTTAAACACTGCGGGAGTTTCACTCTTTGTTTTTCCCTCATACAACGAGGACAAGACAGTCATTTGTACACAGGCAGTAATACAAACCCACACTGGCTGAGACGAGTCCCAGTTCCTGGGGGTTAATTGGTGAAAGGAGAGAGGTGTGAGTTTTTCTCAGGAGTTTCATGCAGTGACAGAGCAGGGTGGGGTCCTGAGAACAGGACTTACCGCTGCTGATGGACTCAGTGGAGGAGTTTGGAATCTGCTGCTGTGATTAGCCGACCAGCAGGTCAACATCACCCTGCTGTGACAGAGAGTCCGGGGGGGGGGGGGGGGGGGGTTGTTTATGTGTTAGTGGTTCCTGTGTCAAAGGCTCGTGGTTCAATATTACAACAGTGTTCACCTTAAAATCCAAAGACAGAGTTGGGTTTGTTGACGTCAGTTCAGTAATTAAATCAAGGCCTACAGAGGACTTATGGGTAATGTGAAGGATCCATGTGGTGACAGTATTGGGCAATCCAGCTTTTTGACACTTCAGTCTATGGGTGTAGACCCTCACACTACAGGGTGGTCCCCAACCACACAATAAAGTGCATCGTATATAATTGAATTACTACATTTATGATCTATTTTATGCACTTTAATTTCGGTAAATCTTTGAATTATTTTTAGTTCTGGAGCCTCCTCTGTCTCATCTAAAGGCACTTTTTTTTAAAGAAAATGTTTTAAAAGAAATAAACTCTCCAGTGATGAGTTATTTCTTTTCACTATTTTCTGTGTCAACGTTTTCAAAGATGAAATATATGCACAAGAAACCTCCATGAAAAATATTTAAAATCAATCTTTTCATTCCTTTCTGTAGAATCGGTACTAAATGATCAGCGGCCCAGTACAGGTCCCCGGCACAATGTTGGTTAGTTCATGGCTGTTCAGTTGAACTTTGAATTTGACTAATATATTTTAGAAAAGAATTTAAGATCAAGACTTTGTAATTACTTTAATAAGTTAATATTGGGTTTAAAGAATTTTAGAACCACATCGTCGGACGGTGGGGTGACTGTTGACAGAGTGGCCTCTGGGTTCCTCTTTCGAAGAATATTTGCTTTACTCTTTTCTCTTTCTCTTATCATTCATTGAAGGCTTGTTTGTGTTTGCTGATAAAAGGTACATTTTAGAGGCTTGTGTTTTTTCTTTGGGATTTTGGCAAAAACACATTAGTTGTATTGTCCACACCTGCCTGGTCAATGACTCGACCTGGACGACTCGCAAATGACCGGGAAGAAGAGAAAATGACGACAGAGGGCAGCATCCCTGCATATGAAGGTGTCATGATTCCTGACGATTACGTGTCTCATATTTACTGTACTTCGTGTTGTATTTGCTCAGTGCGGAGCCAAGGCAGTACTTTTATTTCTCTTTCTTCCCTAATTTGACTTCCTACTGAATGACATCAGGCTAGTACAGAGACAGCAGGAGCTGGAGAACGTCCAGAGCGAGGGTGTGAATGTGTTTGCGTGAGTATGTGGGTGGTGTGTGCTGGCTGGGAAGGATGATTTGGCGCAGCAGTGGGCAGAGGAAGAGAAAATAGAGGTGTGTGTGTGAGTGTGTTTGTGAGAGAAACACAGTGTTCAAGCACACGGGGCCTGCAGTGCTCTGCGGTGTCACACGGTACCGTTACAGAGCTGCGGTACTGTGATTCCAGGTCAGGGTGACTCCGACTCAAGGACAGGACATGTGACACTGAATGTGAGTCACAGCAGCTTCACACAGACTCTGCTGGGCTGGATTGTTGGTCGTGAGCCCGTGTGCACATTGTGGGGGAGCATAACAAAGTGGGCGATCACATGTTGGCAATGTTTCGCCTCGTGTTATTTTGGATGTGATGACGATATTAACCCTAATGATATTAGTCATAAATCTGACTGCACTGTCTTATTTTCAGATATCCTCCTGGCCCGTGGGTTTGGCCCAGTGACAGGACACAGGCTATTTCTGTGATCTGTTTTCCCACATTGAGCCTGAGCAACAAGCCTCTGCAGACGATATCTGCTTCATTTTTGGTGTCATTTTGGTTCAGATTGAGCCCAGATTCTTCATACCCATTCTCAGACTTGTTGGATTAGCCCACCTTGGGCCAATAGCTGCCCAGCTGTGAGTGAGAACAAACCAAATTTTGTTGTTTTGTCGTTGCCCTGATGGTCCAGCCGTCACAGAGGGATGAGGCTGTAGATACTGTATGTTCCTCATAATGGATACTGAGTTACCAGATGTGGACCAGTAAAGTTGTGCTTTTCTGTTTGGCTCATCTTCCACTCTTACACAGGATATGATATGATGCCCAGCAGGGGCGCCGATTTCTGTTTACGCTGGTGGGTGCTCGCTGTGCGTGGGTGCTCGACCCTGAAGCACTCACGGAATCGAACGGAATCTTCATTGAACCTAGATGAATTTAAATGAATTTAGATTGCTTGTATTCTGTAGGATTTGTTATGCGACCCATACTATAGCTACCTGAAGAGCAGATGTGGGTCACTGAAGGCATGCAATTCATACCTAACCAAGGTCCAAGAGACTGCATTTTCCTGCTTGAGACATTTTTGTTTGGACGTGTGTGGTAGTTGTCTACTAAGTCTTGCTGTAGAAAGAAATCAAAGGTCAAACTTTAAAATGCTAACTTTGTTTAGCTAGAAAGTAAAAGAGATAATGAAAAAAGGAAGTGTTAAAAAAAGTAAGAATGCAGACAGAAGCCAAACCACAGTGACAGGAACTTCAAAACACCCAGGTTGACTTTTCCAAGTAAGAGTGTTGAAACATATTATAAAGAAAGTCTGGTTCTGTGCATCATCTGGTTATGAGAAAGAAAACCACACACACACACACACACACACA